GGGGGGGGGGGGGGGGGGGGGGGGGGGGGGGGGGGGGGGCGCAGGGATTCATTTTTACATCTGTCGTAAATTAAGCTGCGTTTATTTATCTGCACACTTCAACATTTAACTTTGAGTGAAATAAAATGAATGAAAGCAAAGAGTATAAGATGCTTTGCAGTTTGTTTTCATCAGTTCATGTTGTTGAAGCAACTGAATCATTATAAATTTCTGGATATGAAGCTACAGCCAGCAACAATTAACACAGCTGGTCCTTGGAAAGGCTTCTTATTCTAATTATTTCCAAATTGGAAAACTACTTTACATTAATTAACAGATTCGATTTTTTTTGACTACCGGTGCAGTGACGACAGTTTCAAGGGTACAAGGGGTCAGGAGGTCAACACCAGGTGAGGTCAGGGCAGGGAGAGGACAGCTGAGAGACTTTGTCTGAGTGGTTTAATCGTGTTTATTTCACATGCATCTGGAAAACATCGAGGACAGCACAAATCCCAATGTTTTCCGTTGTGGTCCTTGGAGGTGGCTGCGACCTCAGGGGGTCAGGGTTCAGGTGCCTTACCTCTGGGGTCATTCGGCTAATGGTGGGCAGGTCATACCCAGCGCCCACGAAGTTTGGAGCGTAGACCTGCAGCTGAAAGTCGCTCAGCCATTGGACAACGGCCTCTGAGCTCTACGGGAGAGAAGACAGGGGGGATGCGATCACTGGCACCGTGTCTGTTTCTTTAACAGCCACGCTTCCTCGACAGGGCCGAGTACAAACCACAATATAGTTACTACAGCAGGGGACCGTTTTCTCAGATCGGTCGGTATTTTACCTCTGTATCTCTGCACTAATGTCACAAAGACAAATCCTTTCACTTTTCTGGATGATGGAATAACAGCAGGACTATCAGGTGTAGTTTACGTCAAACCAAGTCAGTAGCCATCTAGCATTAGCTGCTTTCAGCATTTAGTCAGTTCACGTTAATGCTCTCACTCAAAATCCTGCGCTTGCACTCAAATATTCTCCTGCTTCAAATCTTCTACTCACGCTGCTGCTGATTGGAATAGTTGACGTAGTTTCCTGAAATGTTTTTGTTCTAAATGTTGAAGCTGACACTTTTATTCTTTTCATCCTCCCTCCATCTTTTTCCTCATTCGTCCTTTTGACACATTGTCCCTAGAAGCTGATGGATGCTCCTCTCCCTCTTTCTTCCTCTTTAGCCTGTCGAGGGGAATATTAGGACGCCGAGGAACCACGAGCTAACAGATGGCCATGAGAACATGGCTTACATGACACACACACACACACACACACGCAAGTGATTCACACAAAACTACCACAACCACCTGCTATTTAAATATGCTCCGTGACATGAACATAAATGTCTCCACACATATAAAACACACGCTACAGTAAACGTCAGACTACTGTACATGGTGTAAGCTCTGACTACACACACCATGTATACTGCTGGGCACCTGTCAGCCAGCCAACACACACACACACACACACACACACACACACACACTGAGTTGCCTGAGGTGCACCGAGCAACGTTTGAATTGGAGAATATCTATTTCTGCAAAAGAATAAAAACTCTGCAATGGAAGAAGAAAAGCTGCAACTAAAAGGAGTGAGTAAGGATGGACAGCAGGTCGTAGATAAACGAGAGAAGGACAGGATTCTCTCACACACACACACACACACACACACACACACACACACGATTCCTCGTCCAGAGACTCATTAGGACAACTCCGAGGATCCTCCACGCTCACACTCACCGTATCGTGGCTGCATCCGAACACTCGCAGCACGGACGAGGCCAGTTGCGAGAGAAACCACTGGGACATCTTGGTGTGTGTGTGTGAGTGTGTGTCTGTGTGTGCACGTACAAGTGGGAGAGCGTCGCTGTTCAAGTGACTCAGGAGCTACATTCTCATCACGCTGCAGTTACAGACTCGTGACTTTCATGCTGGTGAATTTCTCCTCACTGTGTCTCTGTGGACTGAATCTGTGGTACTGTCCTACCTTCCCCTCGCCTGGCACCTCCCCCTTCCTGGTTGCCGCGGCGTCATAAGGCGGCGCTTCGTGGAGGGGACACCCCGATTGGCTCGACGTCCGAGAGGAGCTGGCGGAACCTGCTGGGAGAGATATCATTGGCACGTTAGTCAAGATGTGAGAAGCGAAGCGTCGGGCAACAGATGAGTCCGTCCATCGATGAACTGGTCTCTGGTCAGTCTCCTTCACTGCTTCACCAATCAGATTCTCACTTTCCAACATATAATACATGTTCTCAACCAATCACACCCGTCTGTAATCCCTCCTACATGCCCTGCCTTGGCCATCTGTCTGTTAAACCAGCCAGGATCTGTGTGTGTCTGTGTGTGTGTGTGTGTGTGTGTGTGTATGTGTGTGTCTGTGTGTGTGTGATATGATGATATTGTTTTTCTAACCCAGTTCTCTCACTGGTTGGTTCTCATCACGTCTTCCTACCTGCAGGTTGGTCTACAGACTTCGACTGCTCCAGGAGATGCTCCTTCGCTTTGGCCGACTGGGACAAGACTGTGGCGAGAAGCTGCAGAAACAGATACACACACACACACACACACACACACACACACACACACACACACACACACGTTGATGACATCTTACATTTTGTTGCATTGCAGTGACATGACTAGATTTCTTTGACCAATCAGAGCACTATGATGAATGTACGTATCCAGTAAAAACACAAAATGTTAAGAATTCGATTTGAGTTCCGAACACTTGAATTAACTCAGTTTTTGGTCTCCACCAACTCCTATGGAAGATATCTACACTAATGTTTGTGCAATTGTGTTTTCATTTTGTCTTGGACGAGTCTCTGGTGACATCAGACCACGTGAGGCTGCCCTCTCTTTGATTCTAACTTTTTATATATTCGATATTCAGATTATTTATTTTAAAACTAACGTTGTACGACTTTAACCTGACACATCACAAATGATCACTAAATTATTTGCCCTTAAGGCCGTTCGAACTCCAGTAAATCACGATCGAGCTTCATATATTATTTACCGCTTCAGTCTGCAGGAAACTTTCCTGTTCGTATATTCACAATTAATTAGCTACAGTCGCTCTCAGAGAACAACGTTCCCTCGGCGGGGAAAGAAATTGGTTGGCTACCTTCTTGTGTTTGCATTCAGAAACACACAAAAATTAGGTCGATTTACGAGCGTAGCGACATTATTCACATAATCAAACGTCAGTTCTGAAGCTTCGAGTGTGAGCGCTGATGAGAAGTGAAAGAAGAGACGGAGAGAAGACTTGAGCTGCACTGAGCTCTGATTCTGGATGTTTTAAAAACTGCTTCTCTTGCAGTTTCTAAACAGGATCCAGGTGGAAAGTGTCAAACAGAAGCTTCAGACTAACAACATCACGGCTCTGTGTGTGTGTGTGTGTGTTGTACCTTAACCCCTTCGGCCTGTGCATGGAGGATGTGTGTGGCACTGCCGGCACTCTGACCGCTGCCTGATGACCTCACGCTCGTGACACTGCCAGAGCTGCCCACACTGCTGCGGTCCCCACCTGTAACACACACACACACACACACGTACACACACACACAAGCACACACACACACACACATATAGATAACAGCCATAACATACAAACATGCATTCACACACACATGCAACCACCCAAACAAAATGTATTGATTTTGTGTATAGAAATGCACATGTGCAACAAATGAATGGATGCACACACACACACACACACACACACACACACACACACACACACACACAGACACACACACACACACACACACACACAGTGGTTTAGCTAACATCCAAAGCAACGTGGGAACAGGTGTGACTCTCCACTGAAATGCACCGGGCAGCGTGTGGTTGATGAACTTGATGGACGGAGGAACAGACTGTCGGACGACTGGAGGACAAACAGAAGAGACGTAACCAAGACACAACTTTTACTTTAACAGACACACACACTCTCTCTCCATACGCCCAGTTACACACACACACACACACACACACACACACACACACACAGACTGTCGACCAATGCAGATGGCTGCAGTCCTACACACTGAGGCCACTGAGTTGAGTTGAGTTCAGATGGAGGGATAAGCATGGGAGACTGTCAGGAGCAGGTCAAAGGTCAAAGAGTATCTGAAAGCCTTCACACATCATCACAGAGACACGGATGGATTCTGATGAAAGCTGGAGCCAGTCAGAAAGTTTTTGAGCGGATGTCAGATACTGTTTGACCCCTGCTCAGAGATTAAGGAGTCAGGAGTTGAGGGCTCAGCGCAGCGCGGCTTCGTTACCTGCCACTGGCTTGCGCAGTACCCAGATCTCTTCATTGGAGCCTCCATGGGGCCCGCTGGACGGGGTAGGAGAGCTGTGAGGACTTGCCTCTGAACCGCGACAACCTTCAACACAGAACACCAGTGTTAGCCACTAGCGACCCTAAACTGGCCCAGGAAGCAGAGCTATCGTTTGGGGGCAACGGAAAAACTTAACAGAAACATATCATCATCCTCTTGAGCTGAATGACAAACGTGTTAGAGTGCAGCTGCCTATTCTCACGTCCAGGAGACACGTCCAGGAGACACGTCCAGGAGACACGCTGCTAAACGAGCTTTTTTTTGTCTCTGATGAATTTAAGTTTAATAATATTGACGCAGAGTTGCTGCCATTCGTGGTTATTACTGTGTGGGTTCAAATCCCAGGTCGGCCGGGGTCTCTCTGTGTCTCCGGCTTCCTCCCACGGTCAGACATCAGTTTAACTGGAGACTCTCAATCGACCGTAGTTGTGAATGAACGGTTGTTTGTCTCTGTACGACTACGAGACACCCTAACGACCTGAGTGCACCCCGCCTCTCGCCCAGTGTCCGCTGGGACTGAGGGATGGATGTATATTATTATAAGTCTCTCGTGATGAGGTTAACGATCTCACTCTGAGCTGAAACACTGAAGGGCCTGAAGCCAAAACGAGCTCGAGCCACTCTTCATATAAATATATTGATTATTGCAGCGTTGACGTTTTTAGCCATCATCAGGGTGAGAGAGAGAGAGAGAGAGAGAGAGAGAGAGAGAGTGAAGGAGTCAGGACGGACTGAATTAAAAAATAAAAGTATATAATAAGATATATAATATGTAATAAGTGACAGTTCCTGGTTTATTCTCAGCAAAAATGACAGAAACTCCTGAATATTCGCCCAAAAAAAACAAATGACGATGGAAAATATATTCGTCACATGATTCTGACGGTTACGTTTAGATTTAGCTTCTCTCGTGTTTCTCTCCACTGCGTCTAGAATCATGGTTTTTTTTTCCATTTAGAAACTGAAGCGTGTGGAACATGTTGACCGATCATGGACGTGACGGCTCCGACTGAAAAATATCGTCGTGGACGAACTTTGTCGTCGGCCTGATTTTCTGTCACGTGGCAGTTTTTTTAGAAAGTTAAGGTCAAAAGTAAGTTTGAGTGAAGCACGGAGGGGCCGAGAGAGGAGCTGACGGAGTTTCATACTCACACACTTTCATACTCACACACACACACACACACACACACACAGAAAAAAATACAGCATATACTGTGTATAGATATATGAAAACATTTATATACTCATAGTACATAAATAAATCCAGAACATGAATATCTGTGTATATACACATAAATACTATAATGTACATACACATACATATATAATGCATCCGTTAGTGTGTGATTATATATGTCAAGCCTTGAATGGAGCTGCTGTAGTGCATTTGGAGAGTGTCATAAACCATTATAACCTTAACGAGGGATTATAAATGGTTTATGGGAGTGACCCACAGAGCTCTGGAGAAACACACACACATATATATAAAAACACTCCATTTGTTTCACAGCGCCTTCCTGTGGCCATTTTGCATCCCTCCAGGCGACCTCGGACACAGGACGGGTCTCAGTTTGTTTTGGCCTCCTCTGATTAAATCAAAGAGCTCACTTCATTTGTCAGTCGTTATGTTTTCCTCTGCGACAGGAAATTGAGTTTTACTTTCCCTGGAGGAGACAAAATGGCCTCGAGTGAAGGTTCCCAGGGTTCAGAGTTTCAGGACCTTACCTGCAAAACACTCCGGGTGACATTTTCCCACAACACATTTGTGTGTTTGACATAATTACGCTTGAGGATTTAAACTCGGAGATCGATGCACGTGCGTCTAATGATAATATTATGAGCTGGTTAGAGCGAAGAGGAGTTACAGAAAATATCACCCGTTCATGTTCAAACTCTTTGTTTCAGCAAATAATTACAAACATTTTCACTTTTTATAAGCACAAAGTTTGACTCAGTTATTCCTGCCGCTCAGCAGAACCGCACACACACACACACACACACACACACACACACACACACACACAACCCTAACCTTAACCAATACACTCTGTCTTTCTATTGCTGTGAGGACATTGGTTGACATAATGCGTCCCCTTACCCTAACTGTAACCATCACCGTCTACTCACCCCAACCCTCGCACAAACCAAAACCAAACACTCATCTGAAGAAATGTCCCAACAACCATAGAAAGACATGTACACACACACTCTCTCTCTCTCTCTCTCTCTCTCTCTCTCTCTCTCTCTCACACACTGAGGGTAAAAGTGCACGGTGGGTAAAGTGGCACTTACATGATCAGACATGACGATAACACACGGGACAAGGACAGAACAGAAAAGTGTCTGGTGGGGAAGTTGTGCGTTGGGTATGTGAGTGTATGAAACGAGGAGGGTCGTCCGAGGAGCAATGACGAGAGGGAAGAAAGAGGAAGGAAGGAAGGAAGGGAGGAAGGAAGGAACGAAGGAAGGAAGGAAGGGATAAAAAATAAACCGAAAAAGGACGAATAACTCAAACACAAATAAACTCAGGTGAAATGAGGTTTTGGGGTAAAATGGTTAATTTCCCTTCGCAGCTGAAATCTGTTCTTGAAAAACTCTCCTGTTAAGTTACGCTGTTCTCTACGAGAATAATGTTGTGATGTCACAACGATAAGTTCATAAGTAAGATTAAAATCTGTGATAATATCAGGGAGGAGAACCTGCGCCCTTCTGGATTTTAGAATCAAAGTCGACCACGACCAAACATTTCCTCCGAGTCCAAATGGATCTGTCTTCTTGTAATATTACAACTTTATTCAAATTATTAAATAAAATAACAGTTTATTCTGGTAAAATGATGATTCTATCCTCATTCCATATCCTGTGTGACTACTTCACTTGATTCTTGACATCTCTGATTTTAATGTAATACTCCTCTCTCAGTGACAGACGAGCTGAAATGCCGTCCATAAATAACCTGAAACACAGAGATGGATTTTCATTCTAATATCAGGAGGAAAATAACTTGATTTGATTACAATCTGAGCCCTTAAAGGAAAATGTTTTCTGGACCTGAGCTGTGTGACTGGATGAGTCAGATACTGAGCTACAGACTGATCCGACCTGAAGCTTCCTCTGGCTCTCGTTTATGAAGATGACAACAGCAACAACAGAAAAACAAAAGTTACACAGCATGAGCAACACATAAATTACATAAATAATGATCCATAACAATAAAACTTTAATGGATGCCTCCGACATTTACAACAGCAATTAGAATCTGACGTGACCAATAGAATGTTTATCATCAGAGACGTAATCAAACAAACCAGCGGAAAGCATCCCTTGAAGTTTTAATAATAATAATAATAATAATAATAATAATAATGAAAAGGGGGTGTGTACCTGGGGCAGTGGGTGTGTCTCCCTGTGGGGTTGTCACGGGCGACCTGCTATAGCCAAAGGAAGTAAAAAGTGGAAGCAGTGGCTGATGGGAATGTGGTGGAGGAGGAGGCGGTGGAGGCAGGATATGGATCTGATGGAACGTGGTGTCGTTGCCGTTGACTACCGCGTTGGCAGGGGCAACCGTCGCCGGGGGAACCAGCGGTATCTTTTGAAACTGTTGAGTGCAAATGACTGTGCTGGCCAAACCTAGATAACAGCCACCGTGACGACACACCGACACACACGCACACACACACACACACACACACACACACACACACAGCCAGCCGACAGTGAACCAGCGCCACGGAACAAACAAACAACAGAACACAGAGTTACACAGAAGAAAAAGGGGGAAAACACAAAATTAAAAACAAAGGCTGAAGTCACAAAATCAAACAAAGAAATGAAAGGTGGTGAAGAACAGGACGGACGACAGAGGACGAGAAGGAGACGACGAACAAACATGGCCGTCGTTAATGAAATGTGGTGAAAAGGAAGAATCTGAAAAACACCTCGAGTTAATATATCATGTAAAATCTAATGTGCCTATGAGAAGAATATAGATATGTTATAA